AAGACCGTTCTGGCTTCATCAGGCTGAAAGGGGATGATGTTAGGCAAACAGTTTGGAGTCCCCCTTTAAAAATTTGGTCTATCGAGTGGTCCATGATAGAAGTCTGATTGAGAAGTAATAGGCTGGAAGGCCATTTGAGTGATGGGTGGTCTATAAGAGAAACAAGAATTCATTAGTACTGGAACCATATTGATGCAGCAATAAATGCCACAGCACAAGAATATGCCAATGAGTATAATGACAAAGACAGAGACTAACAATGTTTTCCACCAGGAAGTACCAGAGAACCAGGAGCTAAGGTATTGTTTCCATGACAAAGTTGGTGAGGACATGGCTTCTATATGAGCATGTAAATCTTTAAGGATATTTGTCACATTGCCAGAATTGTCAGGGATGTAAACACAACATTCAGTTTTAGTAATGGCACAAATTCCACCATGGGCTGCAGTAAGGACATCTAAAGCCATCCGATTTTGTAAGATGGCCTTCCTCATAAGTGTTATTTCAGTATTAAGGATTATTCAGTATTAACATCATGGAAGGCAGTTTGAGTATAATTGTTTAAAGTTTCCACATGTCTCATTACATCTTCTAAACCAATTTGTGGGATAAACAGAGAAGCTAGATGATCATATCAATGATACACAGATTGTCCCCATCTGTGTTTGAGATTGGGGAGGCTTGCTGGCTGTGTTATATTTGGGGTCTATCTCCCCTGCATCCAGGGGTACCCAATAGTACATCTTCCTGTCCAGCCTGGGGGAAGCCAGGGCCATAGGTTAGTTCCACATATTCATTGAGTCCCATTGGGTGCTGGCCAAATAGTTTCAGGTCTAAAAAGCCAATTTGTTCCAAATCAATCATTGGCTTGTAAAACTATAATTTGTTGGCATTGTGACTCTGGGGTCCATCCTAATTCTCGAGTAGCATTAGACCATGTGTCATAGGTATGGCTTCGTTGTTCCCAACAGATTGGGGCTTTTTGGTTTAAATGCCCAATAGTGGGAGTGAGCCATAAATCTCCATCCCAAATCTGATAGTAACCATCTTTCTATTTGTGACATATTGATGGTGAGGGTGGTGGAAGGAGAGAATTAGATGGGCCTATATGGGATTTAACAGTAGTGGAAGTCTGAAGGTTGGTCTGGTTTAAAGTGAAAATCTTTCCATGACCAGGTTGTGATAAAGTTTCATTTATAGGCCATAAATTAATATCTGCATGAGAGGCATTTTGTAAATAGGGTTTTTCTTTCTTTTGTTGTAACATTAAGGATTGTAAATTTATCCAGTCATTTCCTAGTAAAGGGGATACCCACCAAGGTAGTCCAGAAGTGCTGGAAAGGGGTAATAGTCCACATATCCAGCAATTATCTTTCTGTAACCTAGTAGCATATTGTTGAGCCCACATTAAAAAAGAGTTAGCCTCAGTTGATCTGTTTATGGTAGCAAATAAAGAGAGAAGGAAACGTTTACATATCACCATTTTCTCTGAAGAAGAGATATCTTAGGTCCTCTACTGGAGTGCAGGAGTATCGCTCCTCAGTTTCTTGGGAAGAAGAAGTGTCTTTGGGTATCGACTCGGGATGGCAGGCCTTAATCCGAGAGTGGTGGATCCAATTCTCCTGTCCCAGCACCTTTACTGCAGAAGGGGTGGATAAAATTACAGAAAAAAGTCTTTTCCAAATAGAGTCTATGTTTGGAGAGTTTGAAAGTATGGTCTTAATCATAACTAGATCTCCAGGCTCATATAGAGGTGGAGAAGTAACTGGCTCAGATATAGGATATTTGCGAATTTCAGCCTGAAATTTGGCCAACTTTGTGATATGAGTCACTAGATCTGCAGTTTCTTGGTCTTTAAGGATATCATTTCTTAGGAATGGTCTCCCATATAAGAGCTCAAATGAGCTGAGCCCTAATATTTTGGGGGGTGTTCCTGATTCTGAGCAGTGCTAAAGGAAGCACCTTAGGCCATGGGTAGTGGTTTCCTTGAGTGAGTTTCCTTAGATGTCTTTTTAAAATATCATTAGTTTTTTCTACCTTTTGTGAGGATTGAGGTCTCCAAGCACAATGGAGATGATATTTGATGCCTAAGGCTTTGGATATCCTGCCTTAGGCATCAAATATCTGCTGCCTTAAAAGGCTGCTCCATTGTCACTCTGCAGACTTCGAGGCAACCCAAATTATTTCCTGGGATTATTGGGATTATTTCCTGTAATAACGCCTTGACCACCTCTACTGCTTGTTCAGTTTGGGAGGGGTAGGCTTCAGTCCATCCAGTAAAAGTATCTATCATAACTAATAAATATTGAAATCCATTACTCTTAGGCATATAAGTAAAATCAAGTTGCCAGTCTTCTCCAGGGAACTGTCCCATTCTTTGTAATCCTGGGGCCTTTTTGGCAGAATTAAGTGGATTATTTCTTTGGCATGTGTCACAGGCTTTGACTATTTGGTGGATAGTCTTTGAAAGATCTTTTCCTTTAAATATCTCTAATTTGAGAGTATTTTCTTCTCCTAGGAGGAAAGATTGATGTAAGGTATGTAAAATCTTCCACTGGGAATTAGCAGGTAAATAAAGTTTGTCATCTTCCATTTGAATCCACCCAGAAAATAAAAGAATACCTCCTTTAGATAGTGCCTTGTTAGTTTCCTCCTGGGTATGTATTGAGGTCTTATCTCTGGGGAGGGCCTGTCCACATCAAAGGGGCTAAGGTAGTTATCTGTGAATTTCCCTTAGCAGCCTCCTTGGCTTGTTGGTCTGCTAGTCTGTTCCCTTCTGCTATCTCATCTATCCCTTTCTGATGTCCCTGGCAATGAATTACTGCTACCTCTTTGGGTAAATAGACAGCCTCTAGCAGTCTTAAGATTTGCTCATAGTTCTTTATAAATGTTCCCCAGTCATTTGAAATCCTCTTTCCTTCCAAATTGCTGCATGTGCATGCAGGCTTAGGTAGGCGTATTTAGAGTCAGTATAAATATTAATTCTCTGTTGTTTCCCTATTTCCAATGCTCTTGTTAGGGCTATCAATTCAGCTCGTTGTGAGCTTGTGCCTGGGGGCAAATATTGTGCCTCTATGGTGTCATGCAATGTCACCACAGCATATCCAGCTTTGCGTTCTCCTTGTTCCATAAAGGAACTCCCATCTGTGAACATGGTGAGGTCTGGATTGGATAGGGAAAGGTTTTGAAGGTCCATCCGAGCTGAATAATTTATATCTAGGACTTATTGGCAGTCATGTTCAGGATTTCCCTCTAATTTCTCTGGGAGGAAGGTAGCTGAGTTTAAATTAGAACAAGTCCTTATTTGAGTTACAAGTCCTTCTAAAAGTAGGGTTTGATATTTTAGAAGGCGATTGTCTGAGAGCCATAGATCACCTTTTGTATTTAAAATTCCTGAGAGATCATAGGAGGTGTAGACTATAAGGTCTCTTCCCAGGGTGATTTTAATTGCCTCAGGGACTAGCAAGGCCACAGCTGCTACTACCCTCAAACAATGAGGCCATCCTCCAGACACAAGATTATGCTCCTTACTGAGATAAGCTACTGGCTGTTGAACTGGTCCTTTCTTTTGTGTGACCACTCCTAGGGCTATTCCTCTTCTTTCAGTAACAAATAGGTTGAATTTATGTTCAGTGGGTAAGCTGAGGGCAGGGGCTTGGAGTAAGGCCTCTTTTAATGCCTTAAAGGCTTTAATCTGTTCCTGTTCCTATATGAGGGAAGTGGTTCCTTAGCGTAGTGTCTCTTTGAGGAGGCTATAGAGAGGTTTAGCTATTTCACCATATCCAGGGATCCAAAGCCTACAGTATCCAGTTATCCCTAGGAAGCCTCTAAGTTGTCTTATGGTTTGAGGTAGAGGATATTGTCCTATGGGGGTTAATCTTTCTGGTCCTAGCTTGTGAGTTCCTTGGTCTCAAGGAACTCACAAGCTATAATCCTAAATATTGAACTTGTTCTTGGCATAATTGAGCTTATTTCTTTGAGACTTTATAACCCTTATTAGCTAAGAAGTTTAAAAGCTCTTTGGTAGCCTTTTGACATTCCCTTTCAGTAGAGGCACACAAAAGTATATCATCTACATATTGTAGGATAGTCAGGGATGTCTTATCTCTGAACTCTATTAAATCCTTAGCTAGGGTTTGGCCAAACAAATGAGGGCTGTCTCTAAAACCTTGGGGTAAAACAGTCCAAATTAGTTAAGATCCACTATCTGGCTCTTCAAAGGCAAACAGATATTGTGATTGGGAGTCTAAGGGTATACAAAAAAAGGCATCTTTTAAATCTAACACAGTAAACCAAGCAGCAGCTGCTGGACTCTCAGATAACAGAGTATATGGATTAGGAACCATAGGGTGGAGAGGAACAACTTCTTCATTAATTGTTCTCAGGTCCTGAACTAGTCGCCATTCCCCATTGGGTTTTTGAATTCCTAAAATGGGTGTGTTACATGGGCTATTGCAGGGCACTAAAAGTTTCTGTCTCTTGAGGTTCTGAATGATCTTTAATAAGCCCTTTTTTGCCTCTGGGCATAGGGGATATTGTCTCTGATGTGGAAAGACAGAGGGTCCTTTAAGACTATTTTGATTGGAACTGCACATTTTGCCCTTCCAATTTTGCCTTCAGTAGCCCACACTTCAGGGTTTATATCACATTCTAATAAAGGCAAACATAATGGTCTTCTAAGTCCTAAATTCATTGTAATGGATGTCTGAAGTTTTGAAAGTAAGTCCTTTCCCAATAAAAGGGTAGGACATTCAGAAATGCAAGAGAAAACATCACCCCGTCCCACTCACAACTCAGTGGGGGAGTAAGCCTTCTGGTAATAGGCCGTCCAGACACCCCTTGTATGGTTACAGTATTAGAGGAAAGGGGTCCGGGATAAGAGGTGAGCAAAGAATAACTGGCGCCAGTATCTAAAAGGAAGTTGACCTTTCGGCTCCCTACGGAGAATCATACCCAGGGCTCACATGCAGGATAGGAGTCACAGGAGCCAGAATCGAGCCCGGGCCCCAGCAGGCCTGTGTGGAGGAGTCTGGCTTCAAGGACCTACGCCCCTGAGGACAGTCACTCTTCCAATGATTGCCTTGACATTTAGGGCAGGGCCTTTGAGGTGGACACTTGGCTTTTGGGAAATCCCGTTTGAAAGGTCCTCCCTCTCCACAATGGAAACAAGTCCCTTTTGTGGATTGAGGAGCATTTTGTCTTCCTCCTTCACCCTGGGAGCTTACTGCTCTAAGAGCGAATACCAGCGCTTCAGTTCTTTTTCTGTCTCTGAGCTCTTTCTCCTTCTTTTCCTCTATATCTCTATTATAGAAAACCAAAGTAGCAAGTCGCACGATGTTATCTAAAGATTGATCAGGGCCATATGCCAATTTTTGTAACTTCCTCCAGATGTCTGGGGCTGACTGAGTGATAAATTTGTCCTTTAAAAGTAATTGGCCCTCTGTGGATTCAGGATCCACGGTGGTGTGTTTTCTCGTTGCCTCTCTGAGTTTCTCCATGAAAATAGCAGGGCTTTCCTGGGGGCCCTGAATAATTTCTGAAATCTTAAAATAGTTAATGGGCTTTTTTTTTTTTTTTTGATTCTCCTAAGGACCTCAAGGACCAACACTTGGAAATGGCTAATTTTCCAAGCATCTTGCTCGTCATTTGGGTCCCACTCAGGATCATTTCTGGGAACTGCCTGTCCTCCAGATGGGTAATTAGGTTTGCTCCTAGTCTGTTCTGCTGGGGAAGGAGCAAGTGTAGTTCATTCCCAAATTCCTCGGCTGCTCTCAGAGTTGCTTCCTTCTCATTGAAAGTCAAGGTCTGGTTGAGTAATAGCATAATATCTTTCCAGGTGAGGTCAAATACCTGGCATAACTTTTGAAATACCTCAATATATTTATTTGGGTCCTCCAAAAATCTCCCCAAGTCAGTTTTTATCTGCCTTAGGTCTTGAAGGGAGAAGGGAATATGTACTTTGATTGGCCCAAATTCTCCTCTTGGCATCTCCTGGAGAGGTAATATATTTGGTTTGTCTGTTGGGGCAGATGCAGGGATGCCAGGATATGGGGGACAGGAAGGCTGTTGTTGCGCACTAACAGCAAATGGAGATTTTGTGGGTTCTCCTGATTCTTTCTCCTCAGTAGGTGAGTCCCCAAGATTTTCTCTCTTCATGGCAGATATCATGGCTAAGTCTACTTTACATTGTTGGAATAATTTAGGATTTTCCCTTAGGGCAAAGAAAACCTGAACATACGGCACCTCACACCATTTCCCTTCCTTTTTGCAAAATTTATCAAGCTGTAAAATTGTATTAAAATTGATACTTCCCTCTGGTGGCCAGGTTTCTCCCTCAGGGAGTTTGTATTGAGGCCGGGCCTGGCGGCAGAAGAAAATGATTTTTCTTGAGCTTCTGAGGGTCAAATTTATCCGAATTTTTCAATATGCAGGTAAGTGGCGTACCTGGTATATTGGAGAGTGAAGCTCCCATCTGAGTGAGAAGAGAAAAAAAAAGGACTCAGGCACCCGCACTGGAGAAAACTGTTCATCTCCCTAAGCTGGAGCTTCCTAAAGAGTCCTAAAAACCCATCTCTCATCTTGCTTTGCCAAGGGGTTTCTGGTCCCCTTTGGGAAAGTGCTAGGGTCTCAGTTTGCCCTGTGCCAAAGACCCTGGGAGGATTCAGACTTAAGGGCCTTACTGATGTCCTCCCTGCCACTAAAAACCCACTGCAAAAGAAAATCGTGTGCTCTTTTGTCGCCTTTGCTCTGTAGACTAAAGGAACCGTTGATTCTAAAAATGTCTCTCTAGCAGCTTAAAGAGAACACAGCACATTTTAAATATTGGGGTGGTAAAACAGACTAGTGAAAGTTACCTACGCACCTTAGGGAACCTGGGAAGATTTTACTAATTATCCCATTCCTTTCTCTCAGTCCTACAACCTGAATTGCTAACATTTGTGACCGATGAAGGAAAGGGAGCATCCAGGAGGGAATGGATGCCGGTTTGGGAGTGTTGCGTAGCCCATACAGAGGCAAATGTGATTGGGGCTTTCCCTCAGTGCCATTCATCTACTGATCACCCTAGATACCCCTGAGGGCTGTTGGGAGGGGGCTCAAGAGAAAGGAACCTTAGAAATACGTCTGAGTGTAGCCCAGACCGGAATTCCACAGTTGTTTCAAACTCCTTCCTCCACCTCCATGCATCTGAGGCAGGTCGGGATTGGGGACACTGTGTACTCACGCCAATTGCTCTCCGGGCCCAAACAGAAAAGTTGGAAGCGGCTTTGGCAGAACCCAACATGCCTGCTCTGTACCGAACAGGTGATTGAGAGCTGCCTAGGCCGAGAAACCTCTCGCCCGAGTCTTGAAGAGTGGCGGCTGCACTAATTGCATCTAAGAAGCCGTCGGGTGCCCACCGCACCCTCCAAAGAGAAAGAGAGAGAAAGATGCACCTCCAGACGTGGGGTGCATTGAGAGGTGCTTCCCTCGGTGTAGAATCTCGGTGTAGAATCTTGGTGGGACCTCCAATATGTTACTGATGTTGACCAGTGACGAGTCCTTGCTTCCCCAATGTTGAAGAATAACACCAGAGAAGCACGCTGAGGCAAGGTCAGAGTGGAAAATTAGAAGTTTATTAAGGGACAGCAGAAAAGACTTCTCCCGGAGGAAGAAGGGGACCCAAGAGATGGAATCCATTGAAGGGCGAATGTGTTCCACTTTTTATAGTTTTCAGTGATGGAATGTAAGTGGGAAGGCCCAAAGGGTTGGGACACAGGGGGGCCAAAGAAGTAATCTGGGCACTTCCCAGTCAGCATCTTCAAGTTTGCTGTTCATTAACACTTCTTTGGGATGGGCTATCTTCATGTTTGCTGGGGGCTGTTCATTACCTCTTCTTTGGGCTTTTTCCTAGATTTCATTAACATTTCGAGAGTTGCTCAACTTTTCCGGGAATTCATTCTCAACATGGCCTCCATTTTAGATTTCACTCGATATCAGACCAGATTTACCTAACTACACTGACTACCTAACTTTAAATCTGGCTTCACCAGGCCCCAATTGAATTCTTAAAGTTTTTCTCTTAACTAGAATGTAAGATCATTAAAATCTCACACTCTAGTTAAGAAGGTAATTTTTGATCTTCTTCCAGCCCATCTCTGCCATTTCATCTTTCATCCGATGTTACCTGCTAGTTTTCCTCTAGTGAAACCAAATTGCATGAGCCTTCCTCCATATACATCTCCTCTCCCAGTTTCATTTCCAGATTATTTCTCTTTATATCTGCTTAAATTTTTCTCCAGGAAACACTCCCAATTGCACCCCTAAAATGTATGGTAATATCCTATAAATAGGATATACATTTTGGGAATGCATATTCCTAAATGTATATATTATAGGAATACTTTCTATATACAAATGTGCATAATACCCTTTATATGATCACTATTTTCTGCATTTACTATGTTAACTTATATTTTAACTTTTCTTTATTTCAAATGAGATTATTGCATTCTTAGGGCTTGGGCCAGGTGTGCAATCCTCAAGGTTACTGTGCGGTACACTGTAAGCTCCATAAAACATGTTTTCAATGAAGAAACAAAAGATTCATCAAAGTTATGTACATTTTTTGCATGTCAACCATATTGCATGTCAATAAAGTGGTTTTTAAAAGAGGCAAACTAACACACAATTTCAAAAAAGAAATAAAAGGAACAGTAGAATTATTTCCCTCCTTACACATATTTCCACAACCAGGGGTTTATTTGGGCTAATAAGCTCTTCCTTAATTCTTTTTTTTCCAAAGAGAGAGAGAATTTTTTAAT